TTGAGAATTAGGTGGAAACACAATTACTTATTAAGGGATGGTAGATTTGTAATATTTTCAATTTCATGTAGGATACATGAAAATTTCCCTAAATCCTATAAGGCATTCCTTGATATAGGGCCCATTCATTTTTGGGCTAACAATTCAATTCCATGGGCCCATATTGGGCTGATATGGCCAGCACCGTACTGGCCTACTCAATTCTCATCGGTATTGTGCTAACCATTAAAATACTCTAACATCCTGAAAATAACCATAAATATGTCATAACACTTAAATCTATCTAATTAATAAATAAGTTGAAAATTGTATAAATGCGATAAAATTAAGCATATAAAAATACACTAATAAATATGTAAAATACACACATTTTCTAAGTCTAAACTGAACCACATCAAATTTGGAAGAAAACCCGAATCGAAACCGCACCAAAATTTTCGTTTCGGTTCGGTGCCGTTTCGATTAGCCGCAAATAAATAAATGAAACACCATAAAAAAAAAACAGCAGCAACAATTTGACTATTTTCATACTCAATTCCAAATAAACATCCAAAATACATTCATCCAAAATAAAACATTAATATGATAACTAAACATCCATTCAACATCGAAGTTTAAGTTTCCAAATCCAAAATAAAACTTACAAATTCCAAACAAACATAGTTACATAAACAACTAAATCCATCCAAACTAAAGTCTCGTTTGCAACATTAAATTCAATCAACACTCCGCAGCTCCTAAACCTCAACCAACACTCAAAAGGAAAAAATCCAACAACCTCAAGTTGACTGTTACGACGAGAGAGTGCTAGAAATGAGAAGCCGGCGGCAGGAGGGCGAGCGGGTTGAGAGCGTTGTGAAAGTGAGACGAAGGACTAAGAGAGATGACGAGTTGTGTGACTTGGACTATGAGTGAAAGTGATATGGGATATTATACCCAAAGGGATAAACGACTAAACGGGCCGGTCGAACCAATCCAAATATAAAGGAGGCGATATTGGTCGAAATAACATGGAACAAAGTGGCCAATGCCAGATAACATAATGATCGAAAGGACTAAGATTTCGGCATGCGTAGCAGTCTCGAGGCCAGGAAAGGTCTGGTCGAAGTCGACGGGATCGAGCAAGGGATTACCCAGATGGTCGATCTGCAAACTGGAGCTATCCCGATGGTCGATGACACTGTAGAGTAAATGCAACTCAGGAAAATATGCTGGAATATTTATCCATGTGCAGAGGACACGTTGCAAAAGAGGATTGGTGCATAGGATAGTGGTGACGACCACCTCTGACACACACACACTGTGTGTGTACGAACGGGCAGGTTTTGGGCAGACAGCTCATCAAATCCAGGCAGCCCTTAGGTCAGGTATCTCACTCCTATATATATGGGGGTGAGCATTTCTTGTTACATACGATCAATACACTTACATTTGACAATTATTTGAGCAAACACAGACTTAATCTCTGGAGGCTCTTCACCGGAAAACCCTTCCGGAGTGAGAGTTATTTGTACGTACGTGGCGTTCAACTGACGAGAAGGAAGGAGATTCATCGAGTTCTAGTCGGTCGGAGAGTTTTACGTTACCAGAAAGTGAATGAGAAACGGGCACCAAATTAGATTTTAAGTTTTAATTTTAATTGTTACTTATTAATTGAGCTAATAATTATTATTGTTATTGATACTTGTTATTTTCATTAAGTAATATGCCCAAACCAAAGGCCCAAAACCAAAGTCTCTCTACGGTTGCGGCTTGCCTGTACATTAGTAAATTAACATGTTAACATATTCGGTGCAGTTTAGTTAAAACCACAACTTTTGGACGAAAAACTAAATTGCACCGCAAACCGAGGTGAATTGTACCGAACACGTCGGTTCGACTCGATTTTTCGGTTTCAGCTCAATTTTGCTCAGCCCTACCAGCGTGGGTCATGGTGGTCGGCTCATATCTGGGTGTGTGTGTGTGTGTGTGTGTGTGTGTGAGTTGGGATATTTGAGTGTGTGTTTTAGTGTGTGAGAGAGATGGGGTGGGATCCACTAGACGAGTTTTAATTTTTGTGATGACCATTGTACATTTAATTTGTGGTTAATTTCATATATTTGTCCACGTTGTTTTCAAATATTTATCATAATGTCATCACATGTTTGACTGACATTATTAAAGTTTGACTTGATAATGATAATAAACTTAATTGGTTCAATAGTCTTGAATTATTCTTATTTTTCACTATCATTCTCATTTGAACACGCACACACATATATAATTATAACATAATTTCAAATGAGCCCTAAATAAATACATTATTAATTCATAAAGTGTCATTTAAAAAAATACAAAAAAATGTCTAGTAGTACACACAGATAAATTTTTTTATAGTTAGATCAACACACATTGACACACGTATTTGTGTCTACATATTCCAATAAAATCTGCCCACAGATATATACGTGTATTTGTGTCTACATATTCCAATAAAATCTGCCCACAGGTATACGTTCGAGCTTATTTATCTCGAACGAACTTGTTCTATCATTGAATATTTTAAGTTAAAAAAGTTGATCTATACAAAAGCCCATAACATTTTCATTGTCAAACTGTTCCTCTTTGTATTACAAAAGTTGGTCTTGAGAAGGTACAAAGTGTAGAGAGATGACCCCAGCAGCAAGTTTTTCCCTTATCAGGTGGCAGTCTATCTCAATATGTTTTGTCCTTTCATGATGCACAGGGTTCTTTGCAAGGGAGATGGCTGACTTACTATCTGAAAATAAGGAAACAGGCATAGAATGAGCAATGTTCAGATCATGAAGCAGATACAGAAGCCATTGAGCTTCACAGGTTGTGAGTGCCAATGCTCTATATTCTGCTTCTGCAGAAGACCTACTGACAGTGGGTTGTTTCTTTGATTTCCAAGAAATCAAGGAATCACCAAGAAAGAAAGCATAGCCAGTAATGCTTCTTCTTGAATCTGGGCAGCCAGCCCAATCACTGTCACTATAGCCTTTTAAAGATAAGGTGGAGTTTCTGGGATAGAAAATACCTTGTCCAATGGTGCCTTTAACATACCTCAAAATTCTGACAGCAGCAGCCATGTGTTGATGTGTTGGACATGAGACAAATTGACTTAAACAATGAACACTATGAGTCAAATCAGGTCTGGTTATAGTCAAATACAACAGTCTACCAATTAATCTCCTATATTCAGAAGCATCAACAGGTATAGTTTCTTTGTCAGAACAAGTAGCAGATAACCTCAGGTTTGAATCCATAGGAGTTTTGGCAGGTTTGCAATTTAAGTAACCAGTATCTTTCAAAATGTCTAATGCATATTTTCTTTGGCATAAATGAATGCCCTTATCAGATTGTGCAATTTTCAAACCAAGTATGTATTTGAGAGTACCCAAATCCTTTATGGTAAAACATGAATCAAGATGTTGTTTAATAGCAGATATGGCAGATAAGTTGTCACCAGTAACTATTATGTCATTAAGGTAAACTCAGATTTGGAATATACAAACAAGGAGCAGTCAGAAGTAGATTGTTTAAAGCCATAAGCAAGTAAACAGGTTGTCAATTTTTGGAACCATTGTCTAGAAGCCTGCTTTAAACCATAAAGACTTTTTGTTAATTGACAAACTCTGTTATCATCAGCAGGTAAGTAGCCAGGGGGAGGGGTCATATAAACAATTTCATCCAAGTCACCATGGAGGAAAGCATTATTAACATCAAGTTGGTGAATATGCCAATTTTTAATAGAAGCAATACTAAGAAGAACTCTGACAGTAGTAATTTTAGCAACAGGTGAAAAAGTGTCAAAGTAATCAATACCTTCCTCCTGTGTATAGCCCTTGGCTACTAGCCTGGCCTTATACCTTTCAATAGTACCATCTGACTTGTA